GGGCTATTCCAGACAAGGTAACCCACATCTAGTGGTTGCACAGCCTGTTCCCAGCTTTAGGTAAACTTTGCATACTAAACAGGCACAGAAGGGAAAGTCCTAGGGATGTATATTCCACTCAGAGCTCATTTTTCAGGTGATTAACATGCACTAAAGGCCCCAAACAGTCTCTTCCACCTCCTTGCTCCCTTTCCTTTAAGAGCAGTTGTCCCGCACAGAGCTGAGCTCTATGATAGTCAAAGGTTACGGACCCCCTGTCCGAATTTCCCTTTGCATTAAATCCCTCGTGTCTGGAGTCACGCTGGTTCCACTGCCACTGCTCCCTTCCTGCTTCCCCGGGAGGCGAGGTGCAGTGTCTGCTATGTCAAACCAATGGTCCATCTAGCCCAGTATTTTGTCGCTGACTTGCTATTGTTACCACTTTCCCTACTTGCTATTACCCTGAGACTGGCACTCCCAACCCTCCTTTCTCTTTTCTTGTCCCAAGAAGTTTGTTGTTGTGCCTTCCTAGCTGAGGGAGGCTTGCAGTTTTCTTGGTGGTCCTAGGCCCACTGCTCCTTACTTATCAAATAGGCCTGTCTCTGAGTGGCGGGGGTGGATATTTTAGAGGGGCGAGCGCTGAACCAGGCGGATCTAGGGCAGTGGTTCTCCTTCTTTTTCAGATTCGTTGCAACCCTCATCAGACTTGAGGCGCCACTCCACAACTGTAGTGAACTGAGCAGTACCCTGTTTCAAAAACTAGTGTATTTATTACCTCCTTGCAGCCAGGCAAGGGAGACCATGAGCCTGCCCATCTCCTTACACTTCCCTGGACACCCTTCAAAGGATCTCGCCCTGGCACCCTGGCGGAGAATCACTCCGGTGGAAAGTCACAGAAGTCAGGCTGGAAAGGACCTTCAGAGATCATCTAGGAGACAAGATCGGGGCAGATCCAGGATTTCCCAAAAGGGGGTGTGGGAGCAGCAACCCGCACCAAGGAGTGGCTCCATCCCTTGCTCCTAGCCTCCTCTGCCCCACTAGTACGGGCAGACCATGCTGTGGGAGCCTCTGCGGTCTTTATAAGTCCCTAAAGCAGGTGAAAATCCCCCTTTCCCTCTCCTTCCTGTTCAGAGGCAGCCCCTTCTCCTTCCCACCAGCTCCCCTGCCTGCTGCTCAGGTGCTGGGACGCTCCAGAGCCGGCTGGGCTGCACTCAGCGGGGAAGGGAGACAGCAGCAAGAGGGCAGCTGGAGAGTAGTTTCACACCCCCGTCTGGAGTGGCGGGGGGGGGAAGGGGACCCCTCTCCATCCCTGCCGCCTGTGTCGCCATGCCCAGCTGAGCCCAGCCCAGCACAGAACAGCAGGGAAAGGCAGGTGGGGGGGAAAGAGGCAGAGAGGGGCCGTGCCTCTGAGCATGAAGGGGAAGAGAGGGACTTCAAAAAGTCCCGTGGTGCCGTGCAGTCCAACGGGGGAGGTGCAGCACTGGATCTGCCCTGGGCAGGATCAACCACACCCAAACCATCCTATGCAGATCCTTTTTCTGACCTCTTAGCAAAACTTCAGTCACCCTCTAGCAAAATCAGGCTGGAGGGGATCTCCAGAGGTCACCTAGTCCAACCTCCTGCCTGAGGCGGGATCCTCCCCATCCAAACCACCCCACACAGCCCATCGTCTGAACTCTGCTACCGGACGCGACACAGACCCCACAGCCTAACCGCCGCGCGGCGAGCGGGGGCACCGCGGCAGCCGACGTCCTGCTGCTACGAAACGTTAAAACATGCCCAAGAGGTCCCGGGGAGAGGGGCAGGCCCTGTCAGCGGCCCCGGCAGTGCCTCAGCCCCAGCACGACGCCGGCGGGGGCGAGGGCCCAGTCCACCCGCTGCAGGCCGGGCCGGGCCGGGCTAGCGCCGGAGGCCTG